ATGAAAATAACACTAAAATAAAGTGTTAACTAAAATTTACACTAAAAGAAAGCTTAACAGTCTGTGTAATTGTAATGACCAATGATGGATGTAGTTACCATCCAAGGAGGAGTGTGGAATAATGGAAAGAATACTGGATCTGAAGTCAAAGGACATAGATTCAAATTCTGATTCCACTACATACTGTCCGTGTGACTTTGGACAGTCTCTTTCCCAACCTTGGCCTCAGTTTTCTCATCAGTCCTCAAGAGAGGGCAGCTGTTGACTCTAGTGATTCCAGCACTGGGCTTGGAATCAGGAAGACCTAAGTTTAAAACTGACCTCAGTCACTCACCAGCTCTGTGACTCTGGCCAAATCATTTAACCTCTGCCTCAGTTTCTCCAACTGTAAAATGGGGATAATAATAGCATTTATCTCACAGGGTTCTTGTGAAGATCAAATGAGATGATATTTGTAAAAGTTCTTAGCACAGTGCTTGGCAGTACTAGGCAATGCTTATTCCCTAATCCCCATACCATCTGTAAAATGAGGGACCTGGGGACAGATGTCTCCAAAGTCTCTTTCATATCTGTGGAATGAACAAGACAGCTGTTTTCAAATATTGGAAAGAATGTATTTGGAACAAGAAATTTTATTAGACATCTCAAACTAGATACCTCAAAGACACCTTAAACTCAACATGTCCAAAACTGAACTCATTGTCTTTCCTCAGAACTCTCCCCCTTCTAAGATTCACTATTACAACTGAGAACACCCCCCCAATCAAACTTGAAACCTAAGTGTCATCCTCAACTTCTCATTCTCTCACCATTGCCAAGTTGGCAATCTGTTGCCAAGTCCTATCTTTATATGGTCCTTTCTCATATAGGCCCCTCTTCTTTCCTATGACACTGCTACCATCTTGGTAAAAGCCCTAATCACCTATATGCCTGGATTATCTCTAGAGTCTGCTGGTTGATCTCCCTGCCACAAATCTCTCCCCAGTCTAGTCCATCCTCCTCTTACCTGTCAAAGCAATCTTCTTCTTCTTCTTCTTTTTTCTGGGGGGGTGAGACAATTGGGGTTAAGTGACGTGCCCAGGGTCACACAGCTAGTAAGTGTCAAGTGTCTGGTCTGAGGTTGGATTTGAACTCAGGTTCTCCTGACTCCAGGCCTGGTGCTTAGCCACTACACCACCTAGCTGCCCCTAATGCAATCTTCTTAAAATGCAGACCTGCATGTTGTTGTTGTTGGACAGTCATGTCCAATGCTTTGTGACCCCATTTGGGTTTGGTTTTTGTTTTTGTTTTTGTTTTTTTGCAAAGATAATGAAGTAGTTTGCCATTTCCTTCTCTAGCTCATTTTATAGAGGAAACTGAGGCAAACAGGGTTAAGTGACCTGCCTAGAGTCACACAGCTAATGAGCATCTGAGGTTGGATTTGAACTCATGAAGATGAATCTTCCATGAACTCCTGAAGGTGATCTCAAGCCCAATGCTCTATCCACTGTGCCACCTAGCTACTGCAATGAGGACAGTGGTGTCTCTCAGTTTCCTGTGTTCAAGGGAGGAGGACAAAATACTATAACCCTTGAGGTGGGAAGAAAGTCCTCAGGCCTTTATCTTCCAAACTGATGCCCATGAATGTATCAGCCTGTTCATTCTTCTGTCTCTTTTGGGCCAATTCCTTCCTATTCTTAGGTGAAGGAATATGACTTTGTGAGCTTCAAGAGATCCAAAGAGTATGCCACTAGAGCTCCAAGAACTGGAATCCATATCAGAGTTTTCTGGCAGCAAGTACATTATGAGGTCACCTACATGAGTCAGACTCAACTAACAGCTCTGGTGCTGTCTTCTTGGGTGACTTCATCCATTGGCTAAGAACTTGGTGAGACAAATACTTTATAGAAAGCACTTTAAGTTTGAGCCCACTCTTCCCAGGGACTAAAATGGTATAGGAGAGAGTGTGACCCCAGTTCAAAAGGATGTTTTGTACTTCTATTCTTGCTATACTCTTTCAGTAAATATCTATCTGTAAAAGCTAATTGATGTTAATTGGTTAAATTGATAGTGAAGCACTAATTCCTGGGCCAGGGTTAGACTAACTCTGATTGGTAATTAATATTGAGGAGAACACACACCACGGAGGCTCAAGCCAATGGTATTAAGAGAAAACTTCACAACTCCTTCTAGTTACCTTTATGCCTCTGAAGTAGAAATGTAGCTAGCCACCCTCTAGGGAACTCAACTTGCCAGTGCCAGTGGAAGTTAAGATAAGAAACCCCAGAATTTAGACATAGGCTCCATGTATATGTGCCGTTAAATAGTAAAGCCTTCCTCCCTACCTCCACAATGGAGTTGTCATGTAGTTGTGGAAAGCTTGAATGCTAAGCCATAGACTAATACATATTTTATTGCTAAAAGGGACTTTTAGAAGTCATCTAGTACAAGTAGACTCAGGACAAAGCATTTGCACATCCTTGGCTCCCTACTGCTTCTAGAATAAAAACCAGACTTCTTAGCCTAGCATTCAAGGCTCTCCACAGCCTAGCTCCAACTTGACTTTCTAAACCTATTTCATATTCTTCCCTTTCAGAGACCATAGACAGCCACCTAACTAGACCAGTGGTCATTCCCTGAGCTCCTCCTGCCTGCCTTCCTTCGAAAGGATCTCCTCAAACACAGTGTCATACTCTCAGATACTGCTCCTTTCAATTCAATCTACTCCAACAAAAATGGATGATTTGTTGTTGTTGTTGCTGTTCAGTTGTGTCTTATGATGGTGTTCTCCAATCTTGTCCTGGCTTCTCCTGCCTTTGTGCACATCAGCCTCCATACCTGAAAAGCACTCCTTCATCTGGTGATTTTTAAAATCTCTCTTCCTTTAAGGCTCAGCTCAATTTCTGCTTCCTCCATGAAGCATCCCCATCCTCTCCAGCTGGATGTTCTCTCCCCTTCCTCGGATTCCCTTAGGGCCTTTTTTTCTACCTCTGTCTCCTTTGCTCTCATCACTCTCAATCCAGTATCACAGTGATCTATCTGCACATCATATTCCCCTCCTCCTTATCCCCTGGGCCCTGCTCTGTAGAAGGTAAGCTCTCTATGGGCAGGGGCATTGTTTCTTCTGTTTATGGTTTCACCTTCTAGCACTGAGCACTAGGCTTTGTACACAGTTAAGTGCTTAGTAAACATTGCTTTAATAGGTTGTGTGTTCCTGCCTACCACATGGTACTTGCCTTATCAGGGCCATGATAAAAGAGCTTTTCTGGCATTACAGATATGTGAACTTATCTCCTTCCTTTCTTTGGAAGGGGACTATGGGTGGCACACTGCACATATTGCCAGTCTCCATTGATATGTTGGTTAGTTCTGCTGAACTGCTTTTTTTCACCTCCAATTTTCTTTTTTACAAGGAATGACTTCCTGGATATATTCAGAAATGAAGTTGTTGGTGTTGTAAAAGATATCAATACAAATTTTGTAAATTTAAAGCAGGAAAAGAGATGTGTCCTGGTAAAAGTTATGAAAAGTATCCTTCATCGTGTCTTGTGTTGTGCCCTAGAGGGTTGCCTGTCCCAAAGCACCCTCCATGTCCAACCCCCTCATTTTACAGATGAGGAAACTGAGGTACAGCAAACAGCCACTTGCCTAACGTCAAATAGACAATAAATGGAGAGCTCAAGATAGATGATATGAGTACATGCCTAGTCATGTGGGCTTCTGTTGGCAGCTCAGGAAACTGAGCCCCCTTCAGAATCTTGCTCTGCAGACAAGAAGCTTAGGCAGACAGGCAAGGAAGTAGCATGTTCCTGACTCAACTCACCCCTGGCCCCTGCCTTTAGGGCACACAAGAGAGAGATGAGCTGGCTCCACACACACCTTTAGGAAAGGCAGAGGGGTTGCTACAAAGGGAACCTGCTACTCCAAACATTACTTCCCATCACCATACCACCCACAGAGAAATAATCTAGACTAGTGGAAAAAAACTTGAGTTTGGAGTCAGATGACCTGGGTTTGAATTTTGGATCTGTTTACTATTACCTAGGTAACTGGACAAGTCATATCCATTATATGAGTTTCTTCCTCTATTATTAAAAAAAAAAGCTTGGACTATATCTCTAAGGTCCCACTCAGTTCTAAAATTCTATTTTAGCTCCCACCTTTATTGGTGCACTGAGGATGAGGACAGACAAGCTATAAGCAGATAAACTTGGTCTCCCAGTAAAGCACCTCCCCACCCTGACCTCCAATGGTTAAGACATCAGCCTCGATGTGAGGGGTAGATTGGAGTTGGGCAGTTTATGGAAAGAGAAACCTACCTCTCTTATACTTGTGAGACATTCCAACCCCCACCCCCACCCCACACATTACCTCACAGGGTTAGGAAATCAGTACCAAAGGCCAGAAAGGGGAGGGGCTGGATAGAAAGAAGATATGAGAAAAGGAAAATGGGATTGAGTGATAAACCTGCTTCCCACCCCTGTCTCAAGTAGGGAAAGGGAGAAAGGGTAGACCCTAGGATCATAGAAAACAATCTCTCCAGAGCTCTCTCCCTCAGGCTGAATGAGGGTGTCCAAGGCTGACCCTGTTCCTCCACACTCCCACAATAGGAAGTGGCAGGAAGGGTGAAGGGGGGATAAACAGGCTCCCTAAGGCTCAGGTCATTGTTACAGACACAAGGAACAATTATTAGGGCCTCTGAACATCTCTCCTGACTCATAAGGACTGCATCAGCCCCCTGACTTTCAAAGGGAGTGCAAAGAAAGAGCATATGATTTAGTCAGACCTGGATTCCACTCTTAGCTTTACTCCTTGCTGAGTGACTTTGGGAAAGTCCCTTCTCTTCTGTAAGTCTCAATTTCCCCATTTATAAAATGAGCCTTTTGGAATAAATTAGTTCTAATATATAGGTTTCTTTCTACTATAAATTCTCTGATTTTGTGCTTCCCAGTCCCCAGTCCTGGTGGGAGTCCCTTTTCCTCCCTCCCCAGATGCAGACCAGGCAGGAAGGTCCCACAACCTGGGGATGCTTGTAAGTGATTTATTCATCTATTTTCCCATCTGGCTGTGCTATAAGCAGTTAAGAAAATACACGTCCCTTTGAACATTCATACATTTTTTACAGAGAAAACAAAACCTGATGCTGGTCAGACCATCCCAGAGTGGAGCAGGGCTACAGTGGACCCCTGAGTGCCAGGGGGCAAAGGCTCCCAGCCCACAAGAGGGCCTGTTGGCTCCCTTCCTTAGCCTCCTTCCCAACTTGGGGTTAGATCCCAATCCCAAGGGGCACTGGGAGAGAGTGGGAGGACAGGTGGGCCCTGAAGGCTGGGGGGCAAAGCTAAGGCAAGAAGGCAAGTGAGAAGAATAGGCAGGGAATAAGTGAGGCAGCCTCAATAAGGTCAGGCCAGGGCTTGGCAAGTATGTTCTCTGTCAGGCCAGAAGAACAGTGTGGGCAGGGTTAGGTAATAAGCAGTAGTGGGAAGAGAGAAAGGAAAGACAGAGGCCTTGGGGGAGCATCAGTCCCTCACCCCACCAAGGAACACCCAGAACCTTCCCCAACCCCACAGTATTTCCACTATTCTGTTGTTTGTTCTTGGCTTCCCCCTTCCTCCCCTGTACCAAAGAACACCCAGAGCCTTAGCCCTTCCCAATGTTCCTAGTGCTTTTTTTGCTTTGGGGGGGGGGGGGTGAATGGGGGTGGTTGAGACCGGCTCAGCTTCATGCCCCCTATCCCGCAACTCTGTGCAAAACGTTCTGGGCCCCCAAGGCCTAGGGTGAGGGCATCAAGCCCCCTCACCCAGAAGTCTCCAGGTCATAGAGTGGATGTTGAGGGGTAGGAGTCTGGGGCCTGGGGTTAGGGAAGATGGCCGAGAGCAGAGGTAGAGGCAGGTAGGGGGCCAAGGGTTAGCTGCTGGATGGGCAGAGGAGAGCTGGGAATTCCTCGCACATGTGGCGGACGATAGTCTGGTCAGTATGGCTCTGCAGTCCACCCTCTTCTTCGGACAGGATGCGCCTCAGGGTGGCGCGCAGGTCTGGCAGCCGGTGGCCGTGCTGCAGGTAGGAGGTGGAGCGGATGAGGCCGTGCATCAGAGTCAGGTACTGCATACGCAGCTGGGGACGGAAGCCAAGCCAGAGAATCGCATCATTCGTCTGAGTCTGAGTGTCTGTCTGTGCGGCAGGAGGTGATAGGTGTGGGATGGCCGGGAATGGGAGAGAACCCTCCCCTCCCCACCACAAGTAAGGACCTTGAAACCACAGACAATCTAACTGCACAAGCCCCAAACCAGTGATAGCCTTCAAAGTATGGATGAGTTCTAAAGCTATCGCCTGGCTTTGAAACAAAAATTATGATAGATTTGGGGGCAACAAACTTACCCTCCTAAAGCAATGGGTGCAGGCTGGTCTTAAAGTACACCTGATTCCCAATACACTGCCCACCCCCCGTGTGTGTGGGGGGGGTGTAAAACACCTCACAGGCAGGAGTTGGGCAACCACTGGCCCACCTTGTCTCCAGGTGACAGGTCTGAGATATGCCGCACAGTGATGTCAATCAAGGCCATCATGTCAGTGTGATAAAAGATGGAAGCAGTCTCCCGGGATGCAAACACGTCCTGCAGGAACTTGAGGACTGAGTGAGAGGGCTGTGGCTGGTGCTTAAAGATGCGTACTGGGTCATCTGGAGATGGGGATGGGAGTAGAGGTAGGACAAAGTCCTATCTGAGCACTATATTCCTCATTTTCCAGGCCCTTGTCACCATCTAAAGGGCTTCCTCCTCCCCACCCCACAGCACTACCTGGGGCCTTCCTTCCCTTCCAGACACTTTCCCCCTCTTTCTTCCCCCAGCACCCCATGAGCCCTGGAGGAAAAGGGGGCAAGGGCAGAGAAAAGGTATTTCCCTCCAGAACTTCCCCAGCTCCTCCTCCCAAGATGCTTCCAGGCCCTTCTCTCCACCTTACCCCCTCTGTTCAGCAGCAACAACAGCTTCTCTGTGAAGATCTTGACATTTGAACGTTTGCTGACAGTGGTCATGATGACGTTGTTTTCTGGGTCTGAAGAAAAACAGACTCAGAGAGACTGGCTGTGAGGGATCTGGGATGATGGGAGGTCATGACTCCCTCCTCCCTCTCAAGGACTATTTCCCCAACTTGATCAGGCCCTCATTGAGTGGATAGGGCCCTCATGTCGGGGCTCCCTGAGGAGAGGGAGGGCTATCTTTCACTCCTGAGATGAGAGGTTTCTAAACCCCTGGAGGTGAAAGAGATTTCTCTCACCTGGAATGTGCAGATTGAAGGCCAGAAGTAGATTGACAAAGAGGTCAGGCAGCTGGTCAGTAGTATCTGAGGGCAGACCATCCTCAACAACATCCAAAAGGAACTGAACAAAATGGGCACTGAGGTGCTCTGCATGGAGGGGAACGGCAGAAAGTCACACGTGGTCCCAGTCCTCTGCCTGGGCCCCACACTCGATGCCTGGGCATCTACTCGATCCACTTTGGCTGAGCAAACCAACTAAGGGCTTCAGGAATGCCCGGGGGCTGCAGTGTCTGACAGTTAAGGTCTCCCCTGCTCCAGCACCCCAAATATCGACTCCTGAACTGTTCCTAATTGAAATACCTCCCTGTCCATTTGTAAAAAGACAGGCTCTCAGGGCTTAAAGGGAGCTCAGAGGCCACATCTGGTCCAACCTGTACCTGAGCAGAAATCCCTTCTATAATATCCCCAACAAATGGTCGTCCAGCTTCTGCTTGATAATCTCTAATGACGGAAAGCTCACTCTCTGCTAAGGCAGCTTATCGCATTTTCAGTCAGTTCGCCTTGTTAGGGAGTTTTCTTCACATCAAGTCAAAATCTGCCTCTGTAAGCTCAGCCCACCATTCCTATTTATTTCTTGTGAGCCCAGGCAGAACAAATCTAATCCCTCTTCTGAGGTTTTCAAGTCGTTGAACGTGTTATGGCCCTAAGTCTATCAATCACTGTTAATATTTAGCTAGCATTAATAAGTGGAAAGCAGAAGGGTATAATAGAAAGGGGTGCTCAGACAGAGGACCTGGATATGAATTCTAGCTCCAGCAACCAACAGCTGTTTAATATTGGTCAAGCCACTCAACCACCACGAGTCTCAACCTTCCTGGCAAAATGGCAACAACATACACATCTGTGTATCCTTCCTGCCCTGCACATACGTGTGTCCTGTATGTGTCTGTCCATCCATGTGTGTCTTCATCCCTACCTGTCTCAGACTAGGAAAAGCCCAAAGACTGGGTCCAGATCTAGTTTATACCCAGTCCACAGCTACTTGAGATGAGGAGGATGCATGGATGGCTTTGTACAGAAGTGTGTGTGTCATCTTGGCCACAAAAATCAGCCCTAGCCTTGGGACTACCAAAACATTGGAGCCAGCAGGAGGATTTGAGTCACAACTGGAGTTCTTAAAGAAACACACACAGCATGAAAGAAACAGACTCAGAGGAAGAAAGGAGACATCAAGAGTTGAGCCAGAAAGAATCTGCATCATAGAAGCTATTGGTAAAAGGAGAAAGAAAAAGTGGGCTGAGCTGCAACAGAGATCAGGAAGGGTCACCGGCACTTCCAGGTGTCTCAGGCTGAAACTATCAGTTGTACCTGAACCTCTTCAAGGACTGAGGGAAGTCCCAAGAAAAGGTCTATTCTTTCTCCAACTTCCCGGTACTTGGGATTTTTTTTGGTTTGTTTGTTTTTTTAATAAACACTGTAACATACTCTCCCCAGCAAAGACTGTTTTTTCACTTTCTTTGTATCCCCACTGTGCTTAGTACAATGCAGGGCACATAGTAGGTACTTAATGTTTACTGACTGATTTTACTCTCAATGTTTCTGGCAACCTGAATTTTTGCCACAACCACAAAAAGGCCAGGGGTCGGATAGAAATAAACATAAATTCAAATTAAGGCAGAGAGAAATCTATGCCTAAATATTAGGAATTTGCCTAACTGGGGACTCTGAGCTATTGAAATTGTATTTCATAAACTGCAGAGGAGGGGATCAGGAGGGGAAAACACGGACCTGAGAGATCTTTAGATTGCTCCCAGGCTAAACAAATGAGCAAATTATTTTAACAGGGTGTGGCTGATTAAATTGCCAGCAACAAAGATGGTGTGAGGAAAGGAAGGTAACAAGTATCTCCTAGCCATCACACCCAAAATCACCTATGTTACATACATAAAAATAAATACAAGGAGTTTGAGAGGAGGAGGGAGGCACTTGTAGAAGATGGTGCTTGACTTGAGTTTCAAAGGAAACAGGACTCCTAAGAGGCTGGAGCAAGGATAGAGTGCACTCTAGAAATAGGGGACAGACAGTGGAGATGGAGATGGGGCATGTATCATGTGTGAGGAATGCCAAGGAGGACAGTTTGGCTGAACTGCTGAGTGAGTAAAGTGTAGTGACACATAATACAGCTAGAGGGCAAAGTTATGAAGGGTTTTAAAAGTTGAACAATGGAGCTGGATCCTAAAGGCAATAGGGAGTCATTGGCATTTACTGAGTAGCAGAATGACATGGTGAGATTTGGTCATGACCAGAAGTAACCCCGCCATGTAAGGTCCAGGGGACACTAAGTTAGGGGAGGATTCATAAGGACAATGGCTCAATATTTCACTATTCTCTAATATACTTAACACGCAACTTCTGACAAGAGGACGCTGGGCGTGGTCAAGACAAAGTAGCTTCTCTGAATCACCTTGAGAGAGATACTGTGCCAACTAACAGGACAAAAGACTAACAAACTGATACATTACTAGCTAAGCTGACCAACAAAAAAATTAACAAAAAAAAAAAAACGAAAAGTAGGAATTCACAAATGAACAGGAAATCTTTTAAAATTGCCCAGAACTATTGTGCCAGATAACAAAACTGATAATCTAACTGAAATGAGCAAACCCACAAAAAATGTAACTAAAGCTAACAAAACAAGAAACAAACAAAATAAACAACCAAACCTCCAGGAAAAAAACTTAACAAAGTCATAAATTAACTCTCGCTGTGGGGCAGGGGGAAGGGAGGTGAAACTTCAGGTCCCAATGAATTTATAAGTGAATTCTAGCAAACATTTAGAGAACAAATAATCCCTGTTACATGAACTTTTAAAAAATACAGAAAAAAAAAGGCAGCTCAATGATCCAGTGGATAAAGTGCTGGTTTTGGGGTCAGGAACACCTGTGTTCAAATTCCATCTTAAGTACTTGCTAGCTGTGACAATCCTGGACAAGTCACTTAACCTCTATTTTCCTCAGTTTCTTCAACTATAAAATGGGGATAATAATAGCACCTTCATTACATGGTTACTCTGAGGATCAAATACACTTAAATCACTTTGTAAATTTAAAGCACTATAAAAGTTATCATTAGTTCTTACTCCCAAGCAACTGAACTTTGCTGGAAACCATATCAAATAACATGAACAGCTTCACTACAAATTCCTTTCATTTGAATGCAACCCCTCACCAGTGCATGAAAAATCATTTATCCATCTCTGATTGACTACTTCTATCATATTCCCACAAAAGATTATTCTAAATGTTTCTTGCTTTTTTTCCAACTCTACCACCACACTTCTCCATCAGATGACTTCATATATTTTACTGAGATTGAGGACCCCCCCAATGAGAACTTTCCCATCCTCCATACTTCAAAATCTGTCTTCCCCATCTTCTCCTTATTTCAGAGGATTAGTTGGTCTTCTTTATCTAAGCTAACTCCTTCCACTGTGCCCTTGAGCCTTTTTCCTTCCATCTTATCTGGAAGTCTACCTGAAATGATAATTTCCCCTCTCAGATCTTTAAATCCATCACAATGTCTCTCTCCCAGTCTTTAGATACATCTCCTTCTACTACCCTCCCTCTTACTCCTCAACACAGCTTGCAATCTGGCTTCTGACCTCACCACAATAACAAGACCACTGTTGTAAAGGTCCCCGATGACCTCTTTTTTTGTTTTTGTTTCTTTTTTCAATGCTTTTTGGTTTTTGCATCTTACTCATTTCCTGATATGATCCATCCCCATATCAAATCCTTTCTTGTTACAAGAAAATAATGTTACAAAGAAAAATAATGAAACAAAACTGACCAACAATTTGACCCAGATATCATATGCCATCTTACACCCCTGACGTCTCTCATCTCTCTTCAAAGAGAGAAGCAAACTTCTGTTTCATGACCTACTCTCCAGGACCAAGAATGAACTGATTGATAGGGTCTTAACTGCTACATCTGATGGCTTTGTTTTTTTTTTTTTTCTCTCTTCATCCCTCTTGACCTTTTAGCAGCATTCAGTGCTTACTTACTCAGTCCTTATCATTATTATTATTTATTCATCCTTCTTACTCAGTACTTTCACCTCCCATGCCATTGCTCTATTTTTCTGATTCTTATCTTGTTTAACTGGCCTTTTCTCAATATCTTTTGCTAGTTTACTGTTCTCCACTCCTGAATTTCTAAGTATGACTGTCCCTAAGGCCTTTTCTATTCTTTCTACAGTCCCTCTTGGTGATCTTATCCACTCCCATATGTCTGATTATCACCTCTACACAGATGACCCCCAAATCCATGGATCCAGCCCTAATACCCACTCTCCAGAATTCCAGTCCCAAATCTACATTTGCCTGCTAGATATATCACACTGGCATCTAAATCTCAGTGTATTCCAAACTTGACTCAATCTTCCCCACTTCTCCCCAAACCCAAACCTCCTTTTTCCTCCATTTCTATAGAGCACACTGCCATCCATCCAGGCACATGGTTTCATGAGTTGATGTGGCCTTGCCTGATGGGCCCACTTTCCCAGGTTCACAAACACTCCCTCAACCTGGGTACAAGGCCTTCACTCCTATATCCCATAAAAGCTCCTACAGCCCATGATCCATAAGGAAAAACCTTCTATGCCCCTGTATGACATTAGATTGCAATATGGTTCTTCCTATCACTTCCTGATAGGACTTTGGGGAAGGTATATTTTTCACCAGAGGTTTGATTTATGGGAAAAAAAAATTGAGAGTAGTTTCTACAATATATTGATGATTTCCTTAGAGACATAAAATAGAATAGCCTACACATTACCAGGCCAGACCTGGGGTTTAATCAACATTGGGAACTCAGAGTAACACCAAATGCGTGGAGTTGTAAAGAAAGCTCTTTGTAAAACAAGTCTGTGTCTCAGGAATGCATCAGCTTAAGATCCCCAATTATTATAGAGACACAGTCTTAGCCAGGTCTCCATACAACTGGGGCAGGATAAGCTGGTCATAGCTCACATTTACATAGCATTTTAAGGTTTACAAAGCGATCTGCATGTTATTCAATTTGATCCTCACAACTCTAGGAGGCAGGTGTTATTATTATCCTCCTTTTATAGATGAGGTAACTGAGGCAGACAGTAGTTCAGTGCCTTGCCCAAAGTCACACAGCTGGGAAGAGTTTGAGGCTGGATTTGAACTCAGGTCTTCCTGACGCCAGGCCCAGAACTCTATCCACTGAGCCACCTTCTTCCACTAATGCAGACTGGAAATTGGTCTATAACTTGTAGTGTTAAAAGCATTACGGGGGACAGCTAGGTGGCACAGTGGATAGAGCTCTAGCCTTGGAGTCAGGAGGCGCTGAGTTCAAATCCAACCTCAGACATTTGACACTTATACTTACTAGCTGTGTGACCTTGGGCAAGTCACTTAACCCCGATTGCCTCACCCAAAAAAAAAAAGCGTTACCAGGGGCTCTGAGAGGCCTCATTAATTGCCCAAGATCACATCACTGGCAGGGTCAGAGATAAGTCTCAACTAAGACCCCCACAACTTCAAGACTGGGCCCATCACTTGCTGCTGCTTCACACACATCATACAGGTAGATGGGTGGTGCAGTGGGCAAAGCAATGGACGTGGAGTCAGGAAGATCCTGCCTCAGATGCTCACTAGCCATGTAGCCATGAGCAAGTTTCTTAACTTCTCTCAGCCTCAGTTTCCTCATCTGTAAAATGAGGATATAATAGGGTTGTTGTGAGGATCAAATATGATCAAAAGAGAGGTGTAAAGTGCTCTGCAAAACTTACATATAATAATGGCATAGAATAACATAAAAACTTATATATAATAATAATATTTATATAGCATTTGTTAAGTGCCAGATACTGTGCTGAATGTTTTACAATTATTCTCTCATTTGATCCTTACCACAACCCTGTGACAGAGATACTATTATGACCTCCATTTTACAGACAAAGAAACTGAGGCTTAGGTTAAGTGACTTGTCCAGGGTCACACAGCTAGGAAGTGCCTGAGGCTGGATTTGAACTCAGGTCTTCCTGACACTATCCAGTGCACCACCTAGCTGCCCCTGTTAGTCATTATTATTATGACTATTATTGTCATCATCACCATCATGCTACCCGGTATTTCTATAGCACTTGATACTCTGAAAAATGTTTTAGCTATATTACTGAATTATATCCCCAGCACAGAAAGGTGTATGGCACGATGGACAGAGACAGCCTTGTGATTGATCAGGAAAGATTGCAGGACCCTGGGCAAATTGCTCAGCCCCTATCATGGGAAAGTTGGGAGCATGGAGAGAATGGGCTGGGCAGGGCCACCCATAGATGTGTGAGGAGGGGACTTGGGGGAGAAACACAGGGCAAAGAACCTCAGGATTCAAGGTGCCACGGGTCCTAGGGATCTTCCTGCCAGGGGGCTGTGAACTTGCTTTTTACAAATATTTTGATAACTGTACTTCAATACAATTGGCTTCCTTCATGAGCCTATGTATTTTATTTTGTGCATTTAAAAACATGATTTTGAGGAGTCCCTACGCTTCGACAGACATTGCCCAAGCTGCCCATAACACAGAGCCAGGTGAAGATCCTCTGATACAGTCTAACCTTGTTATTTTATAGATGAGGAAATCTAGGCCTAGAAAAATGAGATGGCTTGTCTGAAGTCGTAGAGAATAAGCAGCAGGGCCAGGATTCACACTCAGACCCTCAACCTCCAAATCCAGTACACTTTCCAAGGCACCATGAAGGCAAGGGTGGAGGCTGGAGCAGAAGCAGGAAGAAAAATCTTGCTGGGAGTAAGCCAGGGACACTCCCCACCCCCAGACGCCATCAGGCTCAGAGCCTTCAACTGGTCCCTTTCGTGCACATTCCCCAGCCTTACCATAATGGTGATAAGGGAGCGGCTCCCCCATGGAGAACACCATGGTCAGGACCAAGGCCGAGTAACACATCTTCTGGTGGTCTGGGGGAGGAAGAAGTGAAATGTTCTAGCTAAGTTTGAGCCCAAGCTGACCTCGGAGGAGGAGGGAGATGTGGTGGGAAGCCTTGGACTGTCCTCAGGGAAGGTCTCTCAGAATCAGGTCTGAGGTTGGGAAGGGGAAGAGGGAGCAGAGGAAAAGTCCTGTCAATTAAGAGTGGGAGAAGGAGTCCTGAGGGCTGGAAAAGGGTCAAAGAGCCCTTTGCCCTCACCCTGTGTGTCCGTCTGCATGTCCCGAGCCAGCTCCATTGGCAAGATGGACGTGACCAGTGTAGAGATTACAGCTGCATCGAGGCTACACATGGCCCCAAAACACTTCAGGAGTAACAGGCGGAGGGGTACCCGGTGCTCCTGAGGATGGAAGAAATGGTCAGTCCTGATGAGTATCCACTCACCCCATCCCCTACCCTGCCCATGATAGCCTGCTCTGAATCCTGGGATTGGGGGAGAGCAGAAGTAGGGCTCTGGAAACTCTCCCTTTCCTCCGTACCCAGATCTGTGCAGCTCAACCCACAGCCCATACCATCTGATAATAGGCCACCAGAGAGAGGACTGGCTCAAACTCATTCTTCTGGCACATCTTCCGACAAACTTCTGGGTCTGCATCTGTCTGGAAAACACAATGGAGGAGACAGAGGTGGTAATAAATGAAGGGAGGCCTAACCCTCTGGTTACAGGCAGAGGGGCCAGTCCTGTCCCTCTAGAGATACATGCACTAATATGTCTCTGCTCAGACCCACAGCTCCTTGGGGGCAGGATCTGCATCATTTTTGTCTCTGCATACCCATCATTGGGAACAAGGTCCCAAACATAGTAAAAGATTTGGAGTCAGAATTCAAATTAATTTGAAAAACATATATTAAGTGTCTATTAAGTACTCTCTACACTGGGGGCACAAAATAAAAATCATCTAGCCCTTGGCGCCCATGGCACTTATGTTCTTTGATGGGTTACAAAATGTATCCAATTAAGTATAACGTAAGGTAGAGAATAACAGAGGGACAGAGATAGGAACTGCTCTAGGAAAATCTGTGGGAGAGATCACTTTAGCAGAGGGGGATGAGAGGTTTGGTGCCCAAGACTTTACCTGAGCTAGTCTCTGGAAGGAGAGAAAGAGTAGAAAAGGTGGAGATGTGGACAGAACACAGTCCAGGCATGGAGGATGCCTTAAGCAAATACACAGAGGTGAAAGCCAGCATGTAGAGTTTAGCAAACAGCTAGCTTGCAGTCCAGCTTGGCTGAAATGCAGCACTCCACCCCCCACCACCACTCCACCCCCACCTCGGATATTTTAAGTTCTAAAGTACTTTCTAGCTCTAAAATCATATGAAAGACACGGGGAAATGACTAAATATTGCTGAGTTCAGGCCCACATCACTTCTCCCATAGACTACTTTGATAGCCTTTTCTCCCCTTTCTGACCACATAACTGCCAAAATCATCTTCCTAGAACACAGGTCTGATTAGATCACTTGCATACTCAAGACATTTCACTGACATCATACGCTATGCTAGAACGCCACCTCCTCCGTCTGTCACTTAAAGCCATTCTTGGTCTGGCTGCAACCTAGCTTTCCTGTCTAATTTCCCATTACTCCCCCTCACCTACTTTACATTCCAGCCAAACGTGGCTATTTTCTGGTCCCCACAGACAACACTGCATCTCTTATCCCTGTGCCTCTCCCCAGAATGTTCTCCCTCTTCATCTCTGCCACCTAGAACCCCTAGCTCCCAGTTCAGGTGCCACCGCCAGCAAGAGGCTTTCCCTAGCCCCCCTCCCCCACTTTAATGCTCTCTCTCCCCCCACTGATTATTTTATATTTAATTTGTATATATTATCTGTGCATCTATTGTATCTCCCTAATCAACACATAGAAGGTACTTGAGGGCAGGGACCATCATTTTCGTTTTTTGTAACCCCAATGCCTAGCATATGCTTGGCACATACTAGACACAATAAATGCTCGTTGATTTGAATTTTTTTTTAATTGCCTATTTCCATGCTACCCCCACCCACTAACTGTGATGCTGCCAGGGCAAGATTTTACTGCTAAGAAAACTACATATCAAAGAAGGAATATGACACTTTCATGTTCATGCAGAATCCTGGGAAGGAAGCATGAAAGTATTTGACTTCAAAGATGTGAGATTTAGTGGCTCTATTGCACAAAAACACCTTTCTAGGACTGTGTGTAGGCCCTCCTTGCAGTCCCTGGATCCCTCCCATCTCCGCTCCCAGGCTGCCCACCAGGATTCGAAGCAGCTCCTCCAGGTAGCAGCAGATAACATTCTCATCTTCATAGAGGGCCCAGCTGCGCTGTTGGGCATCATCCTTCCGCCTTGCTAAATCTGCAAAAATCACCTCTAGCCGATGCTGGTCATGACACACTTGGCCGGAGGGCAGGGCTGAGCTCAAATCCTGTCCCCCAGGACCCAGACATAGGAACATTAGTAAATAAAGTCTCAGTTGGCTCCTCCCCTTCAGGTCCAGCCACTGCCTCAGTCTTGACAGCCTTGGTACACAGGCCTTCTCCTCTAGATAGCCTTCTAGGATTGACCAGAATCACTCTCCCACCCCACCATTCTTTTTCAACTTTTGCTACTATCGTATGTAAACTGAATTCTGTTGGCTTCATTCCTATCTCTCCTCTCAGACTAGGGACTCTCAACCATGTCTTCCTATTCATGAGGTCCATAGCCTCAACCTCCAGACTTGACCTTAAAATTGACCTTTGACTCCAGAGCCCTTCCTGGTACAGAAAACAGCAGCTCTTATACCCCAGGAGAAGAAGGAATAAAAACAGCAAAAATCCTTCACTATGACCACCCCCTGATCAACCGACTTATTTCTCTCACTGATCCACCCTCAAAAAATACTAATTCTACTATCTAATTGAGCTGAGTATGGTAATGCCAAGAATTGGCCTGTGCATTGTTGAAAAGATGGGGATAGAAGGGTCCCTCCACCCTCTGTTCTTGGCCCTGACGCCAACCCCAATCCTTGACAGTGGGGCTCTGGTTTGCTGCTCTTTTGTCTTGCCCAAACCGGGAGCTCCTTGAGGGCAGGACCTGGACCTGCTCTTGCTCTTCTGTCTCCCCCAAACTTAGCGCTCCTAAGGGACAAATCCAAGTCTGTTCATTCTTCTCTGCCTCTTCCTCTGGACTGGGCACAAAGGAGGGAGACTAGTAAATCCCAGTTGATTGGATCACCCACCTCTGCTCTTTCACAACGCTCCACCCTGTACCTTGCTCTCCACCAGGGAGATGAGGATCTGCTCCATGACACCTGCAACAGCTGGGACTGAGCTCTGGATGTGCCCGACGACAACACCGATGGCCACACGGCACAAGTCATGGCTCAGGCTGGTATTTCTTCGGACCAGCTCCATCAGTTCTGCACCAATTGTTGAAGGCACAGACACTGGGGCCGCAGGATCCTCTTCCTTCTTTTCTGGCTCCTCTAGGGTCAGGGTGCTAAGGGCCTCCAGATCAGGAGCTGGAGCTGGGGCTGGAGCTGGGGCTACAGCCACCTCATGCTCATCCTTCTCAGGAAGGCCCTCTGTGCTCTCAGGGGGCTCTGCAGTGGTGCTCTGGTTCTGCAAGGTGGGGGGTTTGGGCACAGCACCACGAGTGCTGCTTCGGCTAGGAATAGGAGGAGGTGTGTGGCTGGGACTTGAGGCAGCTGTGGGGGGTCCCGGCGCCACAGTGCTGGGTCCACTGTACAGTGTGTCCAGGGATGTGGTACTGACTGACGAGTTGCTGGACAGGGAGCTGCCCCGAGCTGGAGCATCTGGACGAGCATCTGGACTCCCTACAGAAAGGGGATAGAAACCCTGACACTCCAAATGGGGGCTCTGACACATTACCCTCCCCAGCCCTTCCAGCCTTTTCCTCTCCTAGCTGTCTGTTCTTCCACCCGGCTCCTGAATTTCTGAGCTCAACAGCTCTCTCTATAAAGCAATTGGCAAACTTCAAAGTGCCATACAAAATTAGTTATTATTATCTCCTCCTCTGTCTCTTGCTTTTCTAATTTTCTCTCTCTGTCTCCATTACCATCTTCCCTTCTTTCCTTCACTGCTTGGGGCAGGGAAGGAGATGGTGGATGGTAAGTGGGAGAACTAGGGCAGCAGCTGCCCTGGGGAAATGTCAATCATACAAGGGTTCCCCTGGCCGAAGCTCAGTCACATATGCCAAGAGCACACAGACACATGGCTGACAGCAGGGAGATGATGGGGGAAACAATGACAAATTATTATTATTCTGAATAGCAACAGCTCACATTTCTATAGCTTTAAGATGGATGAATTACTTTACTTACCACAACCCTGTGGAGGAGTTAGGGCAGATAATTATAATCTCATTTTGTGAATGAGGAAACTGAGGCTAGGGATATAAAATGACTTGTCCAAGTTCATACAGGTGAGTGTCACATCCAGGATTAGAATCTACATTTCTGGACTCCAAGAACAATGCCGTTTCTACTATACCACACTAAGTACACCACCCCCTCCAGACATACATACATGGAAGCTCTCTCTCTCTCTCTCTCTCTCTCTCTCTCTCTCTCTCTCACACACACACACACACACACACACACACACACACACACACACACACAC